CACTTGGGTTCTCTAGAGATCATGTGACACAGTGATGGCATTACCACTGCCGGGGAACATGTGCTGGGAACTGTGTTTGCTGGGACTTTCTAAAGTAATCCAAAATGATGCTCAGCATCTTGTCAGGGAAATGCAAATCACAACCACAATGAGACACCAGCTCATGCCCCTCAAGGGTGGCCACGACAACAGGTACACACAGACACACGGTGACATGGGAAGCCGTGACACTGCTGGTGGAACCTGGCAAAATGGCACAGCCACACTGCAGGATGGTTTGGTGGTTCAGCTAACAAGAGGTCCTACCCCAGGGTGTTTTCCCAGAGAAATGAAAACACACGTCCTCTTTCCATACTACAGCATGCCCGTACCACAGCATGGCCGCCACATCCCTCAGAGCTCAAAGCTGGAATCGCGACGTCCACCACGGCTGCAGAGATGAAAGAAGGTGGTGCACATACGATGGGAGAGCATGCAGCCACAGGAAGGGGCCAAGTCCCAGCACATACAAAGACATGGTTAAGCCTGGAAAATGGCCCACCAGGCCACAGAAGACAGGCACATGTGACTCCCAGCTGGGCCCTGCCAATCCATAGACCTGGAAGGCAGGCTCCCAGGGGCAGAGAAGGAGGGGACAGAAGGTGACTGCTACAGGACGTGAGGTGTGATGGGAATGTTTCCGAGCTGCTTATGTCTGCATAGCTCTGAAGAAATTCAAACCTGCTGCTCTGCCTGTTCCGAATGGGGAGCTCTGCAGCATTCAAATGAGACCCCAAAGCCAGCTGGAAGAAAACAGAGTCAACTTTTAAAACCAAGAAATCCATCACCAGCCTAGCCCCAGCCTCAGACCCCTGCTACAATCACAGCTGTGCAAGGTGTCCACTTTCTCCCAGGCAGCAAATACAGGGGCCCCAGCCCCAGGTCACTGAGCTCCACTCCCCGCTCCAGATCCGCTCCCCAGCCACAAGCCCATCCCTTCCGCCAGGACCTCCCAAGGAGCCCCCGCCCCAGGATAAGTCCTCCTGTCTGTAAGATGGGTGCCGCCCGGGCTTGCTCAGGGAACCACAACCCCTTGGGAACCACACTAGGGCCAGGCCAGCAGGAAACACGGAGGCACCCATCAGCCAGAACAGCTCTATGCTCTCCTAGCTTGTGTACTGATACCCCACCAAAGACTAGCCTTGGGGCACAGATGGGAGGCTGTCTGGGAGATCGTCCTACCACCAAGCATCTGTGGCACACACAGCACTTCCCCACACAATACTTGCTCCAGTCGGGCGGCAGCACCCATAGGTGCTCATAGCAGCCCTTCTGCCCTGCCAAGGAGATGACTGGAGTGCCAAGGATAGCATCACAGGTCCCAGGTCACATGGCCATCCCCTGTATCCACAGGGACTTGTCCCAGCACAACTAGCCCTGCCCCAGGATACCCAAAACTAGGGACACTCAAGCCACTGCTGTAAAATAGCAGAAGGGGAAACCCAGGATAGGGAAGGTCAGCTGCAACTTCCAGGCTGCCCATCAGGCATCCAGCTCACTGGGCCAGGCACATCGGAGCAGGCAGCCAGGGCCAGACCTGCCCAGGAATTGTACAGAGGGGAGACCAGCTCCAGGCACATCATCCCAGCAGACAGAGGGTCCCTCCCAAGCTCACCGCAGCATCCTGGAGCACCTGCCCGCCTCGTGGGGGCTGGGTGCTGTGCCATGGGTGCCCAGGATCCTGGGCTGGGCTTGAGGACTCCTAGGACCCTCTCACAGTTTTAACATCCCCAAAGGCTCAGATTGGCACCACAGGTCGGGGAGGAGGGCAAGGTCCTCCTCCCCACACTGGAGGTAGCATCTCCAGAATGAGCCAGATGGTGCCAGCCCCTGCCTTGGACCTGCAAGCAGCACCCTTTTCCCACCACTCCCCATCACCTCCTCCAGAAAGCCCTCTCTGATCCCCACAATTGCACATCATTCAGGCCCTAGAAAGCTCAGCACTTCACACCTGTCCCACTAAGCTCCCACTCTTCAAGAGCAGAACCTATGCTGGGTTTTGTTCCACACAGTCAGTCCCAGCCAGTCAGGCACACACTCAGCTGTTGGCTGTCAGGGTGAAGACATTACACCTCCAAGCATGCAGCCACAGGGAAGGGACCTGACTCTGAGGCTCTCTCCCTCCCCCAGTACCCGATGGTGCTGTTGCATGGATGAATGCTGTTCACTTCAACGCCCAGCACGAGTTACACACGTGGTCTTTACAAGTCACACAAACATCCATTTGAACTTGGACAAGCTCCTTTGTTAGCTGAACGTCCCAGCATTCAGAGACTCACCGCTCTCTTAAGTCAGCTTGCTATATGAGATCCCAGAAAGGGGCCCCTTGCCTGCCACACATTCCTGGGGCCCGCAGAGGTCACAGTGGGGCCTCTTCCTGGTCAGGACCTGCCTCTAGCTTCTCCCCTGCCCTGGAGTTCTCTCCACTCTCCAATGCAGCCCAGGAAGGCAGTGAGATGGAGCGCCAGCCGGGGGTTGGGGAGAAGCCGCCCCCCACAGAGCCCCCAAGCCACAACAGACGCCCGTTCCTTCTCCCCGGCCCGGGGAGCCGGGCATGTGGCTTCCATTAGGCACATCTGGACGTGCTCAGCGGCAGGGAGGGCCCAGCTGAGGCAGCCTGGAACCCTGGCACAGCTCTGGCTCAAGGGGACCCCTGCCCCAGGCGAGACCAGGGCAGTGGCTGGAAACGCCCTGGGCCCACAGGCTCCAGGTTCCAGGCCCTAGGCCTCAGGCTCCTGGCTGGGAGGGGCTCATTTCCAGCCCCATCACCTGCATCTCAGCAGGACCTAAGGACTGGGCTGGGCTGGGCAAAGCAGCCTCTCTGGCATCTCCCTACTGCAGGCTCCAGCATCACCAGGGTCTCTCCAGGCTTCCCTTCAAGAACAGGAGCCAGGCAACTCTAGATTCAAATTCCACTTCCCTGGGGTGGTACAACCCATCATCCTGAGAGCTCCATCACCCAAATCACACCATGGGAAGTCCACGATCTTCATGGTAGAGATCCCTGCATGAATCCAGCCAGCAGATGCTCCTCCCCCCGCAGAGAGGCCAGGAGGGCAGCGCTGTGCAGCCTCATTCACTGACACAGAGGGGCCTCAGACTGTAGGGCACGGGACTGGGCACTGCAGACCTTCCTCACTACCCAACAGGCAACAGCTTGATCCCAGAACCTGATACAAATGAGCTTATGGAATTCCACCGCAGCCCTGGGAAGCAGAGACTTCTGCCGCTAACAGTTGGAGAAACTGAGGCATCCAATAGGGATCCACTTGCCCAGCTCCATGCATCATGAGGCCAGAGCCTGTGCATTGGCAGTTAACAGCAGACCCTGAGCAGTGGGCATTTATCAAGCTGGACTCTAGCCCAACCCAGTCCAAAGTCCCCCACCCTCCGTTCTCAGCACACAGAAAGCTGCAGCTGCCTATCCACACTGCCAGTTCTGGTCTCTGCACCTCTGCCTGTGCTGCAGCCCCAGCCAGGACAGCCCTCAGATGGGATAGGGGCATAGAGTCAGGAGGCACTCAGTGAGGGAGGGGGGAATCCCCCAGCAGCCCTCACCCAAGACCACACCCCAAAATCTGTCTGAGAAAGCCCAGGGCAGAGAAAATAAACCAGACCAGGGTCCCTGAGAACAAAGAAGTTCTCCAGGATTCAGGATTCCAAAGCCCCAGACCCCAGAGCAGCCTCTGGCAGTTAAGAGGCGGGGGCGAGGGCAGGGGCCGCGTCTGTTTTGGAAACCCCAAAGGCTGCGGTTCCAACACACGGCACGCACACGCTCCCCAGCCAGGCTGCAGGCCCTCCCCACACACATGCTCCTCATTACAGGAGTGTGGTGGGGGACGCACCCCAGAGTCAGCAGCCACGCCTCTTTCTGCCCTGCTCTGTTCAGCAGAGCCATCAGTGGATAGGGGCCTGCAGATCTGGGGAAGTCCCCTAACCCCCCCCCCATTTTCACCCTTAATGCTCGTGCACAGATACACACACAATCCATGACCAGTAAGCACCATAAGAGCCCAGACTGAACAATGGAACTGTCTGAGGCCACTGCACCACAGACAGTAGGACAAGGAGCTGGCAAGAAGGGGCAAGTCCCAAAGACACTAACCTAACCTTAATTCCCACCTCCAGGTAGCCTTCCCAGATATCTTCCCTCACAGCCCTTGGCTTGAGGGACTAAGTATAGACTGGTCCACCCTGCTTTCCCAGGACCACCAGGACCTACTCATAGATGATTTGTAACAAAGGTCGACATGGAGGACAACATGGGGAAGGAGCTCTGGGCTCCTGGAAGCGAGGAGCAGGGGAAGCAACAGCTGGAGAGGACAGGGGTGACTGACACAAGACACAAAGGCCCTGGAGGGGGCGCTGTCAGAACCAGCCAGGAACAGCGGGACCTAACACTTGGAAGAGACAGGAGAGTGTATGGGGTACTCAGAAGAAGACAGGAATGAGGGGCAGAGAAGACAATGGGGTGGGCGAGGAGTAGCCAGAATCCCCCACTGGGTCACCCGATACAGGTAGGGTTCTGTGCTCAGGCCCTGCAAGACGTCCAGGAGACTGAATCAAAAATGTGACACTTGATGCGTCCTTGATAAAGAGTCAGGCGACTGCACTGGAGGCTCAGGTGCAGCCCAGAGGAAAGACAGCAGCAGAGAAAATGTGGAAGGTGGAGGAGGGGCATCACCTCATGGAGGGCTCATGATAGAGGCAAAGAAGGAGCCCCAGGGACATGGGAGAACAAGCATGAACGCCCTGGGCAAAGGAGTGGAGGCTGCGAGACAGGAGAGGAAGCCCAGAGGGTGACAAGGCCAGGCTGCATAGGACACTTAGAGGAGGAGAAGGATTGTCATGCCCTCCTCCCACAGGCACCTCCCCTGGCCACCTGCTCTGCCCACTCCTAAAGCTGCCAAGGCCAAGCTGGCTCTATAGCCCTGGTGACTGTCCTGCAGTGGAAGTCTTACCTTCAGAGTCTCCTCTGGGGACAGAATGGACAGAGTTGGGGTCTGTGTCCTCTGCCACCACCACTGCCCGGGAACGAGGTAGAACCTGTGGGTGCTCAGGCACTCGTTGGGTGGGTGGGACCTGGGCTGTGTCAGGCGGTGTCGTGGACAGGACAGGCTGGGTGCTGGGCTTGACTGGGTCATCAGGAGAGCTGGGCACAGTTGGTGAGGGAACCCGATCAGCTGTGCCTGATGCTGGCAAGGGCAAGGCCCCCTCAGGCCTGGCACTGTCGGGGGTGACCTCAGCCTCCGGGATGAGGTTCTCTTCAGGCCTTGCCCCGGCCTCTGCCTCTTCCTCCTCCTGGACAGGGAGACTGGGGCCCGTTGGGGCTGTGGTGGACGGAGCATCTAACCGCTGGAGGCCACCTGCTGTGAGCTGCTTCGTGCCAGCCATCTGCTTCTCTTCCTCTTTGCTGTCCTCTGTCACTCTTCTGGCTTTGGCCTGTACAGGGGCTGGGGGCCCTAGGGCAGTGGCTGCCGTGGGCCTGGGGAGGGCAACTGGCCAGGGGCTGGCTTTCAGGGTGGACAGGGGATGACTTCCGCCTTCCAGAGCAGCAGGGGGAACCCCTGCACCTGCCTGGACCTCCCTGGCCAGGGTGCCTGCTGCTTCTGCCTCAGCCACCTCCTGGTCGTAGCTATAGGGGTCTTCATAGTGTCGCTCAGGGTCACCCTCCTCTGTGTCCGAGAAGTTGCCCTGGCAACCCGGGAGCTGGTAGCAGATGAGCTCGCCGCCAGTGTCAGGACAGTGGCAGGCCCGGCAGGGTGGCAAGTGGACAGTGTGGCCAGCGGCGTACTTATGGCCAGCATGCACACAGCCCACCTGGCCACACTGTGGGCAGCTATCAGCCACCACCACAGTCTCAACACAGTTAGGAGGCAGCTCAGGACACAGCATGAACTGGCAGCTAATCTTGCCACCCCCAGGTGGGCAGGAACACTCGGTGCTGCCAAAGTCCACGAAGTAAGACTGGCCGGCAGGCACCCGGCCATCCACGAAGCCGCCCTGCACGCAGTCGTAGTACTGGTAGCCCTCACAGGCACAGCCCAGTTGCACGCATGTGGCACAGCAGGCACCTGGCTCCAACGCCTCCTCAATGCAGTTCTCCAGCGGCGAGCACTCAACCCCTGTGCAGTCCTGCCACGGGACAGCCCCACCTCGGCCCGGGCCCAGGGCCAGGGTCATGGCTAGGGTTAGCCAGGCTCCAGCAGATTCCCAGAGGAGCAGCATGGTCCTGTGAGGTCCTAGGGAATCAAAAAGGAGGCCCATCAGTGCCAGGGCACGCATACACATGAGAGCCAGCCTCTTGTACCTGCTTTCACACATGCACCTATGCACACATCCTGTCAGGTTTCCTGTCATGCACATAAGTGCTGTGCACCAGGGCAACACCCACACATCTTGGTGCCCTTGCCATTGGCCCCAACACAGGTTGCTGTAGTCGCCAGCATGACCTCCTATCTGTTCATTCAAGGCCACCAGATTTGACACTGGCCCTCTGTGCCCACTCACACACACACACTCACACTCACACACACACACACACACACACACTTACACATGTAGGCATTAACATCCCCACTTTCGCGCCGGGGAATACAGGAATATGGTCAGGAACTCAGGAGCTCTGTTTCACACATTGCCTCCAAGGTCCTTTGTGCACACACCCAATCACCCAACTGTCCCACTCCAGCCCAGCGGCTATGGGGAGCAGCCACACTGAACCAGAAGTAATACCAGCTGCAGCTCAGCACTCAGGAACAGCCCAGGAGAAAGCCATCTGCACACACGGTCCCTACAGCACCAACGACCACTCCCTAGACACCTCACTGTCTGAGCCCCAACACGCACCCCTCCCCTTTCCCTGAGCCAACAGGATCTGAGAACACCAGCTCAGAAAGGTCCCGCTCCTCCTCCAGGCCTGGCAGCTGTCACCCATCACTCTGAGATACCCCCCAACAGGCCTGAACGCTCCCAGAGGCACCCCTTCCTTACCAGGCATTGAAATGCTGCCTTGTCACCAGTCCACACCTCTCCCCTTGCACAACAATCAAGGCCTCACAGCTCACCAGGGCAAAGAGCACCAGCTGGCACCATCCAGTGCCTTTGACCCAACCGGCCAAGGCACAGGCCTTGTGGAGGGTGCCTGAACAGGCAGCCCTGAGCAAGGCCATTCCCGTCAGCGCCCTTAAAGGAGGGGAGACCAGGCCAGGCAGTGAGCCCCGCAGTTCAAATGCAACCAGCCCATGTCAGTGTCTGAGTTTCTGTCCATGTTCTGACTCCTGAGTCCAGATTCCTGCTGAGTATACCCTAGGAGGCAGCAGGTGATGGTTTGAACATTTTGGTCCCTATCACCTGCTTGGACTTGTGACCCAGGGCCATAGACAGTGTCCTCCTAGTTCTGCCTTGCATGTGTGTCCCAACATAGCTTGCTTCTCTTCAGGTATGGGGACCCAACTACTAGAACCAACACCTGCTGCCTCTTAGGGTGTCTATTAGCAGGAGGTTGGCATCAGTTGCAGAGCCAGGACATCAAACCATGCTCACCACTACAGTATGTGGCACTCCCACACAGTGCTCTCATCTGTTGCACCAAAGGCCCAATGCTATGACATTTTTAATGAATGTGGAACAACTAAATCAAGCTCAAGAACTTAAGTCTTCATTAAAACCCCCTCAGGTTGGCTCCGTGAGGGCCAAACCGCTCTCTGACACCCACATGGAGGACCCCAGCACTTAAAACTTTCACAAAGAACCAGACATCTGCCCATAGAGGGAAGGGGACAGTGGGGGCAAAAGAGGAATAAACAAACCAACAAATAAGGGTGGAACCCCACAGAGCCAGGGATAATGCCAGGGTTTTCTTCCAGGAGTATAATTGACTCCTGGCAGCTGAGGTCCAAAAAAAAAAAAAATCCTGATCCCAGCTGGATACTTCCCCAAGAGGTGAGGGCTCAGGTGGCCCCAGGCATAGGGTGACCACCCCCAGCCAGGCTCACCCCCTCCCCCCCTCCCCACTGTAAATGGCCAGGGAAGGGCCTGCAACCAAGTCTAACCACAGGCTGTTCTGACAGGGCACTGACAGATGGCTGCTAGGGCCAGTAAGCTTTATTCTCAGTTTCAGGAAGACATCTCACTGTCATGCCGAGCAGAGCTCCTCCCCCTGTGGAGTATCAGGTCTGTGAACGATGCTTTCTGGGTGTCTCCATGAGCCCAGGGGACAGGTAAAGGGCATCAGCTGCCCTGTTAACACCACACAGGGAAGAACAAGGCCACACCAAGCCAAGCTTCAATTCCAGAGCAAATCATCAATGACCATGGCTTCTAGCACCCAGCCCTGAGGCAGCTGGGTCCACAGGGCTGCTGGGGTCTGCAGTGGTCTGGGAATGTTCTAGAGGCTTTCAGGGGTAAGGATTCAGCAGTAAGGCCCAGAAGGCTAGAGACACACATGTGCAGGCAGTTTCTAAAAAGATACATGTCTGACACATCACCAAGCCCATACTGCGCCTTCCCATACCTCAGCCCGCACAGCAGCTCAGAGCAGTGTGGCCAAATGGCAACGGCTGTCATCCAAACGGAGCAGCTCTACCTCTCGCTGTCCTTGTCTTGGCTCTGAGGCAAAGGCTTGCAGGTGCAAAGATAGCAGGTGTAGCTTCCAGGAGGGAGCACCTGGCAGGACACTGGGCCCTGAGAGTGGGGAGCAGGACCGTGGGAAGGGGTAGCGACCACCAGAGTGGCTGGTGCAGCTCTGGTCTCTGGATGAGACCCCTGCTGTGAGCAGCAGAGTCAGAGAAGTCCTGGATTCTCAGGCAGGTGGCTGGGCTCCCACCCAGGACATCACACTTTGGATGTGATTTGAGTTTGTCCCCCGAGAGGCTCTCGTGTTGGCAACTTGGTCCCTAGCATGGAAGTCTTAAGAGGCTGGAAGGCGGGGGGAAGGGGGGACACCAATGTGGTGCAGTTGGTTAAGCAGCCACCTATGACACTAGCATGCTATGCTGGAGCACTAGTTTGAGCCCAGCTTCCTGCTAATGTGCCAGGAAGGCAACTCTCTTCCCGATCCTGTTTTCCTGATGAAAACAGGCAACGCAGAACACATGGCTACATTGGGGGATCAGATAAACCATGAGCAACTGTTTAGGAGACATCCCATGTGAGCTTGGGGGTGCATGCATTAGTGGCACAGCCAATCATTTTACTGGTCAGCCTGCATGTGACCAGACAACCTGAGACAAGAACATCTCAGGGTGGCATGCACGTGGCTTCAGAACTTTCCAAGGACCCGCAGGCAATCTGTCTTTTAAACAACTGGCAGCGCAGCAAAACACCGGGAATTGCAAAGGGTTGGGGATGACAGCAGGAAAATAAACACCCAAAATTCTCACAGATGTGCCAGTCAAACACACAAGCAATCGCTTCCACCTGGCAAGCTAGGGCAGAAGTACCCAGGACGGGCTGTGCCATCTACCCAGAACCATGCCGCCTGTTGGCAGCCCTGGGCTTCCAGTTCTTCAAGGCCCCGACTTTGTCTCGTGCACACCCACAGAATGCAGGTCCAGAAGCGGGGCATGGTGCTGCACCTACACCCCAGCCTGATGCCCCACATGCACTCCATGTGGTAGACCCTGGGAACGTTAACCCCTTTCCAGGTGACCATCTGCAGCCTCAGATTGCCAACCTGTCAGAATGTAATACTCCACTTTAGCAAGACCCATAAAGGGAAGGAAAAATACCAAATGCTTCAAAAACTTTGTGGAAAGATAACATCTGCCTTAGCAGTTAAAATGCCTGGGACCCACAAAGGAAAACCCGAGTCTGATTCCTGGCTCCAACTCCCGTTCGTGCAGGCCCTGGGAGGCAGGAGTGACAGTCCAAGTAATTGGTTTCCTGCTGCCTACATGGGGAGACGTGGGCTGAGTTCTTCGCTCTCAGCTTTGTCCTGGCCCAGTCTCAGCCACTGCCAGCATTTGAAAAATGAATCTAGTAGATGCAAGTGCTTCCCTTTCTCTCCCTCTTGAATATGAAAGGGGGGCAGGGCAAAAGGCAACTTCTCTTCGTGCCAAAAATTCTGAAATCTGTGCAAAGATAAGTTCCCACAAAGTTCATGGGAAACGTGTATTATGTAAAGATTGTATGGCACAGAAATAAACTTTTTGTATCTCATTTCCCCCACGAACTTGCTGATATTCCTCTGGTAGTCACAATCATGCAGGTTTTTTATTGGACCCTTTAGAAGCAGCGTGTGGCATGGGAACACAGTGCAAGTGGTTTACCGAGTGACAGAGGTTTCTAGAAGTAAGGCAAAAAGGAAGCAGGCAGAGGGAGGACTGTGCAGAGCAAAGCCATGCTCTCAGCTGCAGGGGCCCTGGCATGGAAGGGCCGTCCCCAGTGCCTTAGTCGGTCACTGGCCAAAGGCCAGGCACAGTCACCTCTCAGGCAGCTCGTGGGATGCACACCTGCAGCCCGGGACCAGCAGCCAGTGGAGCCACAGGTGGGAGCCATCAGCAGTCCACACCTGTAGCAGCTGCAAGGTACGTGAGCCTCCATTTGAGAGAGAACTGGATGGGGCATTGCAAGGACCACACACAGTCACACAGGCACAAATAAGCAAGAGCAGGTACAATGATTTGGCCCTAGAGACCAGCCAAAATATGACCTGTAATTTGCCACCTAGACTGGGACAAGCCAAGGCCTGGAGACACAAGAATGTCACCTACTGAAATAAGTACCCGGACAGGGCCCAGCACAATGGCTCAATTGGTTAATTTTGCCCCCTGCAAGCACCAGAATCCCACACAGGTGACCATTCATTTCTCAGCTGCTCTACTTCCCATCCATCTCCCTGCTTGTGGCCTGGGAAAGCAGCAAAGGATGGCCCAAAGCCTTGGGACCCTGCACTCATGAGGGAGCTTTGAATCAGCTCAGCTCCAGCCATTATGGCCATTTGGGGAGTGAAAAAACAAATGGAAGATTTTTTTTTCTCTCTCCCTTTCTCTGTAAAATCTGCCTTTCCAATAAAAATAAAGAAATTCAAAAAAAATATATCCGCACACCCCTGTTCACTACAGCATTATTCAGAATAGATGGAAGGGTAAGGCACAAAAGTGGGGGCACCAACACTGGAGTGAACAAATGAGGTGCGACCCACTCCACTCGATGCAACCCCCTGGCCTGGGCAAGGCAGGGTCCTTGGGAGGACAAACCCTTAGAACATGGTGCAGTGAAGGGAC